CCCTCCTGCCCCCCTCCGCTCCCCCCCACACTGGCCTTACCTGACTCCTGCAGCAGGCGCAGCTGCTTCATCCTTGGCGGCCAGGGGGCGGGACTGAGTGGAGAGAGTCCGTCCTCTCCCAACAGAAGAATGCCGGAGCCCACCAGGCAGCCAAGTGACAGGCGCAGCCTCCTCTCCTTCCCCGCACAGCCGCCCGTACATTCACAGCGCAGCAGGGGAGGGAGCGGCACACGGCACTAACCGGAAAGGGGGGACAGCGTGCGGAAGCTTGGTGCCCTCTGCTTCCTCAACAGGCGGAACGCCAGGGCGCGGTCACGATCGCGACCGCTGCGACCCTGGTAGTTCCGCCAGTGCCTGCCATAGAATCCAGATGATAAATGCTCAGGAATGTAAAATAATACATTAAATCAGAACAATGTCTAATGTGGATGTTAATGGGTCTCTGATATCATGTGAGAATAGTTGCTCACTCATAAATTGACATATGGATATAAACAAGGCTCATCAAATCCCGGTGTCAAGCCTGGTAAACAAAGTCCCAAATGGTCCCTGTGTGTGTTGTGAAATAGTGGTGTATTCTGGTTTGGGGCTGCCCTAAGCAAGACGAAACTCGGGCACTCCCCCACACTAAATCTGCCGAATCTCAGGAAGGCTGTGCAGGATCTGTGGTGGGCTCTGCCATAGACCCCGCAGAGCCCAACTCTCTAGATCATGATAAAGACGATGAGCAGGATAACCAATAACCAATAAATGAATGGAAAGTTATGTTATTGGTATCAATAAAAAGAGAAATGCATAATGATTGGTGTGGTACCATTCTCATTGCTATATCATATTTTGTAATTCTATTGCTGCAGACTGCAGTGTACTGGACGTGTGTGCTGTATATGTACTATGGATCATGATTTAACCTATTCATGTTAGCAGGGCAGAATTGCGAGCGCCTCCCACAAGCTGAGCACCGAGACGTGATGCCGTGATCCTGCCCAGCGCCGACTACGTGAGGCAGGGATCGGAGTGAAACTGTGAGTGAGGGAAGCTGGGACAAGGCTGGCTGTAAATCTATTGCTATAGTGTACTGGACGTGTGTAATGTATATGTAGTACATATATACAGCACACACCTCCACTACACTCCAGCAATAGATTTACAATTCTCCC